GGGGGGGGGGGCAGCACCAGCAGCTGCAGTTTGCTTTTTTAACCAATTATCTGTGGAAAAGTATTCTGTTGTTTTTGTTTTTGAGCAAACTTATCAGGACTGTTTTTGAAATAAAAAGGGGTTGGTTTTCCCAGCCTACTGTTAAAGAGGGGTTTGTTTTTGTGACGCAACAAAGACGGACGTAGGCTGGGACAGAACAGTGGCGTTTTGTTCCCATGCCCGCAGGCCCTGGTGGCGCTCCTTGTCTGCTTTGGGGTAGTTTCCCTTCCTTTGGAGCCTCCAGAGTGGGGAGCCGTCCCACACTCCCTCCCAGCAGAGGAGGGGGTCACTTAAGGGTGGCCTTCTGGGACATGTAGTTTTAGTTGTTACCTGGTTATATCTGTGTTAGGACTGGCCACTGGGAGGGTCTTGTGTTTTTATTACAGGATATCCTGTTTAAGTGCCAGTCTATTATCTCTCCATGAATCCTAGCCAGGAGGGCTAGGAGCTCCGTTAAAGTCTTTGTGTAGTCCAGCCACGAGGCCCTTTGCTCCGTAGGAACATGGGGTGAATTTACCTTTATTCTTTTACACCACAAGAACTCTTCATTAACTGTGAGTTACTGTTTAGAGATCCCTGAAGAATAAATAGTCTGAATGCCATCCCTCTGTGGAGTTACTCTGTCTGTGTTGGGTGAGAGCGAAGCAGTTCTTCTGCTGGGTACAGGACAGGTGGGGCACCCAGGGGCTGGGGCTCCAGGCTGTGCACCCCCATCATGGAATTGAGCAAAACTAGGGCTTGGCAGGATTGGATGCCTGTTGCCCCTCCCTCCCCATCCTTAACCTCCAGCTAGGGAGGAAGGGAAGGACGGACCTACCGAGGTAGTTGCGGCTGTGGTCGATCACCCTGATCTGTCTGGCTCCAGCCGGGATCCGGGTCACATTCCTGTACCCAAAGAAACCTGTTGGAAAGAATCAGAGGGGAGCCAGTCAGAGAGAGGCAGAGGCAGGGGAGATCCGAGGGGTGGGGCCCCAAGGGAAGTGGGACCTGTGCTGGGGGGGGGGGACTCCTGGGTGGCTTCCCAGGGCTGCTGCCCCCCCCCTGGCCTTTGCAGCTGCTCCCCACCCCCGACTCCCTGCTTTCAGAGGATTGTGACCTCCCATGATGGCACTCGCTCAGAAGAGGAGTTTGGCACAGTTCCTGGATGGCCAAGACAGCTCAGTGCTCTCCAGGGCCCCTTCCCAGACCTTGCTGTTCCTTCAAACTCTCCCTCATTTCCACCACTTCCATGTTGTGATTATGTGCCATCAAGTCATCTTCAACTCCTAGTGACCACTTCCTTCCTTCCTTCCTTCCTTCCTTCCCTCCCTCCACCTTCAGCTTCTTACCAACCATCAGCCTGGCCCTCAAAAGACCTTCTGCCTGCCATTGGTAGCTTCCTCTGCTTTGTTTTCTCAATCCAATCCTTGTGAATTTTCATGATGCAGACACCTCAACGTGCTTCTCTCCTCCAGTTTTTGTATTCATGTTTCAGCACCGTTTCCTTCTTGATCCTCCCTTGTTTCATGGCCAGTTTCTCCTGACGGCACCCTCCCCTCCTCCTCCGGTCTCTTTTTGACTACCAATTACGTCATTCCGTCCACTTCTAGACCCATCCTCACATGGTGGGAGGAATGGTGACATGAAAATGCCTGACTTTTGTGAGGACCCCCTGGGCCACGCCAGGGTCCCCGTGCCAATTCAAGGACTGGAGGGGTGCCCATGAATGCAGCTCCGAGGAAGGGCCCATTTTCTATCTATTTCTTCTGGAAGATTAATCGAAGGCTGGCCCTTTCTCCTCCACCACCCTCTTTCCTTTCTCTCCTCTTCCTCCCCCCCCAGCTCCTCCCAGGGCCAGGAAGGGAGCCTGCCTCCTCACTGCCTGGGCAGCCGCTCTCAAGAGTTCAGCCTGAATCACCTCATCAAACCTGCTCTTAGACTTAGAGCCATTTCTTTGCCCAGCTCGCCTGTCGTTCTCTGCCCTTCCAGCCTCCTCCCTCCCCCACTTCCTTCACCAGGGGAAACAAGGCCATCCCCTCCCCCCACCTTCCTTCCGTTTCCAAATTCATCCCTGGCTCTCCTGTTGTCAGAATCCACCGCAGCAGCAGCTTCTCTGCATCACCCACTGGCACTCCCACCTTCAGGGGCAGACCTGCAACCTCCCAGTGTTGCACACACTTTATTTCCTGGCACGCACTTGTCAGCTCCGGTCTATGAGGTTGGACGAGAAGTGCGCAGGAGGTGGGACGGGACAAGAGGGTACAATCTGCAACTGTGTCGTTTGCACAGTGTCCTTAGAATGGTTTGATGGAGTTTGGAAAAAATTCAGAGAAGAGCAACTAAGATGATCAGGGGGCTGGAGACTAAAACATACGAAGAACGGCTATGGGACTTGGGTCTGGCTAGTCTAAGGAAAAGAAGAAATAGGGGAGACAGGATAGCAGTGTTCCAGTATCTGAGGGGCTGCCACAAGGCAGAGGGGGCCAGGTTGTTTACCAGAGCACCAGAGGGAAGAACGAGAAACAACGGTTGGAAACTGACCAAAGAGAGAAGCAACCTGGAACTGAGGACAATCAACCTGACAGTGAGGACAATCAACCAGTGGAACAGCTTACCTCCAGAAATCGTGGGCGCTCCATCACTGGAGCTCTTTAAGAAGAGACTGGACATCCACCTGTCTGAAACGCTATAGGTGCTCCTGCTCGAGCAGGGGGCTGGACTAGAAGACCTCTAAGGTCCCTTCCTGCTCTATTCTATTCTGATGCCATCCAGGGCACCTTCCCAAACCTTGCTATGCTTGCAAACTTTCCCTCGTTTCCACCACTTCCATGTTGTGATTATGTATCCAGGACAGATGTGCCTGGATACGTTTCATTGAGACTGATTCCACACTTGCCCTCTCTGTAAATTTCACAAACTCACAATGCGTCTCTCCTGTCTTCACCCATTCTTAACCCTTTACGTCCTGCTTTTGGTCTCCAAGCAGGCCCAGGGGGGTCTGCCCATTGCCTAGGAGCATTTTTGTGTCGCTCTCGCGTGCCAAGAATGATGAGACTCTGGTGCCCATCAAGGAGTGCTCGGTGCCCCCTCTGTGGGCAGGAAGCAGGTGCAAAGGGCTTCAGCTGGTTAGAAGGACAGTGCCAGGTGCTTGGCCTGTAAGCCTGGAGATGGGGCTCCTAGAGGGCACCAGGCGTGGCAGATGGGCAAGACCCGCCTTCAGGACAGCCCCGGCCAGCCAGCAGAGCAGCAGCAGGGGAGGAAGGGAGGCGTGCGGGTGGGGGGGAGGAGGAGGAGGAGAGGCAGGGGGCTGGGTTGACAAAAGCCAAAGCTTCACCCACGTCAGCGCATTCAATCACCAGAGGCGGGAATCGCCACCCGGAAGGCTTCCTGGACGAAGACGCAGGACTCGCTCCGGCCCCCACAGACGCCACAGGCATCGGCCAGTGCCCCGGAGCCCAGGATCCCATCACAACCGGCTGTCTGAGGGATTGGAGAAAGGGCGGCAATTAGAGGTGCCCGGAAGGGACGCCCCTTGTTATGGGGGGATGGAGAAAGCCCTTGGTGCCCTTGGACGTCCTGGGACAGAGAAAACGTTTCTCCTCTTCTTCCTCCCCCCCCCCATAAAGGCAAGCGCTTGTTTTGTGGGCGGGCTGCTCTTCCTCCGGAGCCCTGCTCCTCTAGAAAACGACAACACCCGCAACTTTCCTTTAGCCACTCATTCAACAATGAGGCTGCGGTTGCTGCAGTGCTTCCTCGGTTTGTGATACGCCTCACTTGTGTGGACTTTTGTGTTTTTCTCTTGCCGCCTTTGGAGAGTGACGGCCGAGGACAGCCCAATGCTAGAGAATAGGAAGATCTGGGCTGTGTATCCTTCCAGTGGCCAAAAGCAGGGGGGGGGAGCCCAAGAACAACGTTGAACAATCCAGCCAAAGTTAGTTATTTCCTCGCACCAGGCAGACAGAATCTTGCCGGACTAACCTTTACTTCCCTCAGCTGAACGGAGTTTCTAGGGAGGGCTCTCCTCGGTCTCTTCCTCTGCCTCCATCCTGCTCCGGGGGGGGGGGCTGCGCTGCCCCTTGTCTCTCCCTGCCACCCCCTCCTTGGTAAGTGCTTCCTGGGAAATTCTCTGGCCCTTCCATCACACCCCTCCCCCTGACAGGCACAACCCTTCACATCCGATGCCAGTGGACTCACCAAGCACCGGCCGCTGATGCAGAGATCTGGCGACGCTGGGCTGCAGAGGGTTCCGTCCAGGACTCGGCCAAAGCTGTAGTAAAAATTGTGTCCCACCGCCAGGCAGTTTAGGTCACAGAGGTTGGCAGCTGGGGGAGGCAAAGGAGGCAGAGGGGGCATGAGAGCCAGGCAGTGGCACAAAAAATTGCCCTGTCCATTTGATTGGAGGGGGGGTTGGCCTAAAGGTCACAGTGCTAGACCAGGACTGAGGTTTTTCAGTCTCTCTCACTGCCTTTGCTCCAGGGGGCTGACCAGATTGTGCGCTCCCCCCCCCCATACACCCATACCTGACTCGCCTCTGAGCCTGGACAGCCACAGTCGGGGATCCTGGTTCACTTTCCCCTCAGGTGGAAGGAAATGTTTTGAAACACTTTCTCCCCTTTCAGCAAATTCCCACCCAGGCAATTGTAGGGTTGTGTGTGTATGTGAAGCATGCAACACACACAGATCTAGCATTCCCGGCAAAGTCCTGATTTCTGGGGCAGGCTCAGCACTGGGATCCCCAAAGTGAAGCCGGAAAGAAACCCAGAGCCAAGCACCCCCCTCCCTGATGATTTTGAGAGCCTGGCTCCCCTCCCTGATGCTCTCACCTCCATGGAAGGGGACCCACTGGTACTGGGCCTGCCCCCCTGGGACGGGCCTGCTGTTGTAGAGGGCGCACTGCATTGCCCTGAAGGGGACAGCGCCAGCTGGGCAGGCCTGAGAGAGAGAGAGAGAGAGGGGGGGGGAGGGAGGGAGGGAGGGAGGTAGGGGAAGGGAAGGGAAGGGAAGGGAAGGGAGAGGACCACTGTGAGAACATGACTGCAGGATGGAAAGAAAAGACACACCCAGGATGATGGGCTGCCCATAAGAGTCAACAATACCAAACAAGAACACTGACACTGTATTCCAGAATCACAGAACAACAACAACGTTGTAATAAAACTTAGTAAAACTTCAAAAGCACCACATAAAGTTCATAAATAACATCAGGGCTATTACCACTTTAGAGGTCCTTAATTTATGACTGCAATAAGGAATGAAAAATTTATGTCATTAAACACCTGTCCTTAATGAGCTTTTTTTCCCTATGGTCTTCAAGTGAATCACCCACGATTGTTAAATCAGGCATCAACATGACCGCAACTTGCAACTGGCTTTCCTATGGGCTTTGGGGATGCTGCTGAAGGTGATCACACAGCTGCGGGATGCTCTGAATGCCGTAAATGGGCACCAGTTGCCAAACTCCCAAATCATAATCGCATTGACCATGGGGACGCTGCAACGGTCGTAAGTGTGAGGACTGATTCAGTACCACTGTTACTGCAAGTGAATGGTTGTTAAGCAAGGACTACTTGTACAACAATAAAATCAACAACAAACTTCACACGTCAACATATCAACTATGTTGATTCCTAACAGTGAGAACAATCGACCTGTGGAACAGAAGCTGTGGGTGCTCCATCCCTGGAGGCTTTTAAGAAGAGACTGGACAGCCATTTGTGCAAAATGGGCATAGAGTCTCCTGCTTGAACAGGGGTTGGACTAGAAGACCTCTAAGGTCTCCTCCAACTCTTATTCTGTTATTGTGTTAACTAGGATATGTTTACAAAAGTCCTAGAATACAAGGCTGGATGTTAACTATGCATCTTGAATGTAAGCACGAACCCACAGGGCCCCCAGTGCTGTTGAGCCTACCAGAAACTTTGGGCAGAAATTGGTCCCTGCATTCTGGACCCACTCTGAAGGGCCTGGTGGCCTAGTGGTGAAGGCGCCCGCCTCCCACTCGGAAAGTTGAAAGCTCAGTCTGAGGTAGTGGCAGATGTTTCTCGCAAAGAGAAGGTATCTGCTGGGAACTCTGTGAGGGTGTCAGGAAGGGCATCTGGCCAGTAAATCTCAGCTCCATTCATTCTGTCATGCCAGCTCCGCCCCAGATTAAGGGGTTACAGGGTCATAAAAAGGGGGGGAAATCCAGACCCATAATAATCTGGAGGGGTTCCCCATTTATGAGGAGGCGGCTTGGGCAGCATTCAGCCGACCTGTCTCTTCATACCTTGGGTGTGCACTTACGTGCTGCACGCTGCTGGTGACCACGAGGGCCACGCAGAGACCACGGGACTGTTGGATTTCCTCCCAGGCCACGCCAGCAAAGGTTCCCTTGAGCCTCCAAGGACTGTGGTTAAACCGGGGGCCCCAAGTGCCTCTTCCCTTGACCCCCCCACCCCCCCATGACTGATGTTTGCAAGAGGCTTACAGCCTCTCGGCTAAGTCCACCTGCTCCCTGTCAAGACAGGCTCCGCAGGGGAGAGAAGGGTACTCACTTCCCGCTCACAAACATGATACTGCCTGGCCTCCGCTCTGCAAGGGTCTTCTCCAGGAAGCCTGTGGCCCAAGAAAAACAAAATAACAGAATAACAGAAGAGTTGGAAGGGATCTTCGAGATCTTCTAGTCCAACCCCCTCCTCTGGCAGGAAGCCTTATACCATTTCAGACTAGTGGCTGTCCACTCTCTTCTTAAAAACCTCCAGTGTTGGAGCAATCACAACCTCTGAAGGGAAGGCGCTGATTACTTGTTCTCACTGTCAGGAAGTTTCTCCTTAGTTCCAGGTTGCTTCTCTCCTTGATGAGTTTCCATCCGTTGCTTCTTGTCCTGCCTTCAGATGCTTTGGAGGATGGGTTGACCCCTCCCCTTCCCTATGGTAGCCCCTGAAATATTGGAAGGCTGCTATCATGTCACCCCTGGTCCTTCCTTTCACCAGACTAGACATAGTCAATTCCTGCGACCGTTCTTCGTATGTTTTAGCTTTGAGCCCCCCTAATCATCTTTGCTGCTCATCTCAATCACAACATCATTTTTATATTGTGGTGACCAAAACTGGGTGCAGTATTACCAAGACATTATAAAATGGTATTAACACTTCACTTCTGAAGGGGACAGCGCCAGCTGGGCAGGCCTGTGAGAGAAAGAGAGAGAGAGGGAGGGAGGGAGGGGGGGAGGAGGGGGGGAGGGAGGGGTTAGGAAAGGCCAAGTTACCAAAGAGGAACCGTGGTGGATGAGAAGCAGTGGATCCATCCTCCCGTGACAAGCCTGAAATACCTCTCTGTCCATTCGCATCATTCCTGGGGACCCCCCACTGACAACATCGCAAAATAAATAAAAAAGCTCGGGCACTTCCCAAGGGGAAGCAAACACTCCATCAACTCCCCACTGCAGGGCCCTCAAACGGTCAGAGACCTGACCATGGATGAGGGCGAAGTCAGGGTCTCATCTGATGTCGGGGGCCCTTTTCACAGATCTGGAATGAGCCAAAAGATCTGTGACCACATCGCTCCACAGCACACCTGACTTAAACTAAATCAGTGGTTCTCAACCTTTTTAATGCCGCGACCCCAACCGGTTGTAAGTCGAGGACTAAACCGGTCATAAGTCGAGGACTAAACCGGTCGTAAGTCGAGGACTAAACCGGTCGTAAGTCGAGGACTACCCAACTGGTCGTAAGTCGAGGACTTTCCCTGCCCGGGAGCGCCGCGCATGCGTGGTTCCGCCCCCTGCGCCGGCCGAGGCGTAGCTGGCAAGCGGCAGAGACGGAGCAGGCCGACCACCAGCTGGAGGTAAGGCACCCGCCGGAAAAGGGGGAAAAAATGGCGGACAAAAAAAATGGCGGACAGCCTTGCTTGGCGACCCCCGTGAAATGGTCAATCGACCCCAAATGGGGTCCCGACCCACAGGTTGAGAACCACTGAACTAAATACATGAAGATCGAAACACCCAGGACCGTGGAGCTCATAAACCTCTGCCTAGCCACACATTTCCAGTTTGATGGACAAACTTACCAACAAATTAAAGGCACACCTCTGGGACCACTGCTTTCAGGACTTACAATGGAGGTTATTACGCAACGTCTAGAAGCCTTAGCACTCCCACAAATACAATCCAAAACATGGATCAGACTTGTAGGTGACATTTCACCATAATAAAGAAGGACCAATCAGAGAACACACACACACACTACTATCAACAACATCTTCAAAGGAGTTCAGTTTACCAGAGAAGAAAACGACTCGCTACCCTTCCTGGCCGTCCTTTTTTTTTTTAATTTTCTAATATTACATTTGCGTATTTGAAAAGCAACGTGGCAGCTGAGTACAATAATTCCATTACATCAGCAGATCAGCAGAGACCACAATGGCAAACACAATGGTGTAAGACCTTTATTTAGACGAGCACAAATTCACTGCAGCCACCTCAAAAAAGGAAACAGGACATCTATATGGCACATATCACATGCTCCAACAAAATGGATATCCACACAACTTTATCAGAAAGTACCTGACCACTCAACCCAATACAGCACAATCAACACAAGCCCTAAAATGGATCACCCTGTCATACACCAAGAAGATTTCAGAAGCCACCAACAGACTATTTTACAACCACAGGGACTCAGCACAAGCCAACTAAAGCCCTCCAAAATATCCTAAGTAAAGCAAAAAGACCCCGCAGCCCCAGAAGAAGAAAAAAGAAACAGGAGTCATCTACAACATACAACACAGTGAGTGCAACGGCCACTGTGTGGGGCAAACAGGCAGACGGCTGGCAGAGCTCATCCAGGAACACCAATGAGCAGTCAGGATGAAAGCTCCCTAATGTCACAACATGTGGACAGGCTTAGCCGTAGTTTCAGCTGGGAAACTGTGACCACCCTAGCCCAAGCCAAGTCCAAAAATGCTAGGGAATTTCCAGAAGCCTGGCACTCTGACAAATTGGGCATCAGTTGACACAGAGACTTAAACAATATCTACATGCAAAAAGACACAATCAATCCAGCCAAAAAGAGAGCCAAAAGACGAAAACGCCTCCTCGCCAGCAATCAGCACCCAGAGGAGACAGATTGCATCAGGCCAACAACCAAGAAGTAAACAGTGCCCCAATCCAGGAACTGCCGAACAAGCCAGCAGTAAACATCCCAACCAGAGAACCCCCGAGACCATCCTCCACCAACACTGACAGGGCAAGACACCAGAATATAAACTGAGACCAAACTCTACTCCCTTCTAACACTGATGATGTTGCCTAGCTGGGTAATGAAACATCTGCAAGAAAACAACCCAGCTCAGAGGGTACCAGGGACCCCCTAGAAGCGCCAGTTCTAGAAGAGGAAGCCGGATCAGCCCTGGGCTGGGCTGGGCTGGAAGGCCAAAGGAACTGATGGAAGACCCAGTGAAACATGGCAACCAACTAAAGAAGACCAGACCATGACAGCAATTCTGGAGAATATCACAAATTTTGTTGTTTTATATTCTGACTTAGCCTGTTCCCCTCCTACAAACCCTCCACTGTAACTCTGGGACTGCATCTGATGGGGGGGGGGAATAGCCAACAGTTTAGAAGAAGGATCTCGGCAGACTTGACTACTGGGCCCTATCCAAGAAAACGCAATTCAGTGGTGAAAAAAAGCAAGGCATTACACTGGGCAAGAAAAACCACATGCACAGGTACAGAATACGGGGTCGTAGCAACTGTGAGAAGGATCTAGGGCAGTGTTGGGGAACCTATGGCACGGGTGCCAGAGGCAGCACTCAGAGCCCTCTCTGTGGGCACGCGCGCCGTCGCCCCGGTCCTAGGCCTTCAGCTGGGTTTTATAAAACCTTTTTGCTTTAGGCCTCCGCCACCGTGTACAAAAAAAAAAGGTTCAATCAATCAGTCAATTTCAACTTCTCACAGGAAAAAAAAGATCTTGCAAAGTTGGAATTGATTGATTGAACTTTTTAGTCCCACCCAGTCTGCTGTTACCACCATAGCCACGCCCACCCGGCACCTGACGATGCATAAGTGGGTTTTGGATTGCAGTTTGGGCACTCGGTCTCTAAAAGGTTTGCCATCACTGATCTAGGGTCCTAGTGGACAATCCCTTAAGTATGAGCCAGCATTGTGCTGCAGCTGCCAAAACAGCCAGTGCAGTCACTAGGCTGCATCATCAGAGGGTGAAAGTCACATGAAGTGGTAGCACTGCTGTGTACTGCACTGCTCAGATTACACTTGGAATACTTTGTCTACTTTTGGTCACCATGATACAAAAAAAAAAGATGTTGAGACTCTGGAAAGAGTGTAGAGAATAGCAACAAAGATGATCAGGGAACTGGAGGCTAAAGCATATGATGAACCGTTGCAGGTATTGGGGGTATAGCTAGTTTAATGAAAAAAAGAACTAGGGGTGACATGATAGCAGTCTTTCAATATCTAAGAGGCTGACACAAAGAGGAGGGGGTCAACCTATTCTCCAAAATGCATGAAGGCAGGACAAGAAGCAATGAAACTAATCAAGGAGAGAAACAACCCAGAACTAAAGAGAAATATCCTGACAGCGAGAACAATTAACTAGAGGAACGGCTTGCCTCCAGAAGTTGTGGCTGCTCCATCACTGGAGGATTTTAAGAAGAGACCGAACAGCCACTTGTCCAGAATGGTCTAGCTAGGGTCTTCTGCTTGAGCAGGGGGTTGGACTAGAAGACCTCCAAGGGTGCCTTCTGACTTATTACTGTTATTCTCATATTCTGTATTCTGATAGGTCTTTCTCCTGAGCAACTACGTTTGCCCACCTGATACACCTCCGGATCCGGAAGGAGACGCCGTCCCCACAGGTGCTGGAACAAGCACTCCAGCTGCCCCAGTGTGTCCATGTCCCGCGGGCCGGTTGGTGTCGGTGCTGGGGCTCTGATTCCCGATCAAGGTCCAGCGGGCCATTGTTTCTCCCCTACTTAAAAGAAGATGGCAAAGTCACCTTAGAGGAGACAGGCACCAGCCTGGCACCACTCAGCACAGCCTCTGAAGTGTGTGTGTGTGTGTGTGTGTGTGTGTGTGTTATTTCTGACCTTGCCACGTTTTGGCCTATTGAGCAACTCCCTGTCTCTCGCTTGGAAGCAGGGCTATGTCTTTTCCTCCACGCCATCCTGAGGCAACCTCTTAGGATGTGCCCAGCTAGCCCTTGGCAGTGCGGGTCAGTGAGCGAAGGGGGCAGGAGCGCGCACGTGTGCAAATGAAGAGGAAAGCTGTCCAAGAGTGGGGAGGCTAGTCCCTGGTGTCTCTCGCAGGACGGGGCAACCTCCTGAGAGTGGCCAGTCCTGGGCTACCGACAGGCTTTGCTCCTCCCTCCGCTGGCAGGTAAGTGGTGACTCATCGTGGCTCCAGCCACGGATGGGCAGCCTGGCCAGTGTAACTCCCCACTCTGCTGGCAACGCCGGGGCAGGGGGTTCCCTCTCTGAAGCTGCTGGGGCAGCGGGTCAACCAGTCAGACTTGAGAGGTCCTCTTTGGGAGAGGAGGCTCTTGGCCGAACAGGTGGGGCTGCTGTGCCTCTGAGAACGCTTCCGGCCCAGTTTCTCCCTGTTCTTGAGTCTTCCTACAATGAGCAGCTTCTACAGATCCTGGCCGTCCCTGTCTTGCCTCTTCTCTCCTGATTAGCCTCCAGTGAAGATGGTGGGTGACATTTCCTGGCCTGCTTCCTCTCTGGTCCGATGGACGGATAGACGTCTGTTCTGCTGTGAGCCTCTGGATGGAGCCTCCCCCCCTCCCCATCTTCTGCTCTGCCTGCTGGCTGGCAAGGAGGAAGGGAGGGAGGTTCTCCCCCCCCTCTATGCAGGCGTGACCTGGTCTGGAGAGGCCATGCCTAGTCCCGATTAGTCAGGCCTGCCCTGCCCTGCCCTGCCCACCCTCCCCTCCCCCTACCCCCAGAGGCCAAGCTGTCTTCCAAGGGAGTGCTTTGACTGGCCTTGTGCTGCTGAATGACCACTGCCAGAGCAACCTGTGGGTGACCATGGTGCAGAGGGCATCTTTCCCTCTTTCCAGCCCTCCCTGGCAGCGGCATCCCCCCCTCCCCCGCTGCAGAGGCCAAGCACAGGGGCAGCTTATTGTCACCGCTTGTTGCATGGCCTGAATGGGGAGGGGAAGAAGACCACCCCCTAAGGGTCTTCCGCCCTCAAACCAATGAAAGGGCATCTGATGGCTGCTGGTGGGAGGGGGCGGGAGGGAGCCCTCCCGGAGCCTGCAGCTGAGCTATCATGGGCAGCTATCTTGGGTAAGGTGACTGTGCTGCATCTGGTTGCCCAGTTTTTGCCACCTCTGGTCCCTTGTTTTTATGAGGGCAATTGTTTTATTATCTTTCTGTTTGGCCCTCAGTGGGAATTGGGTGGCAAACAAGTTCATGAAATAAACTAATGGCTCTCTCTCAAAGTGGAGTAAAAGTGATTGGCATAAAGACTCTGTGTCTCTTCAAGAACTGATCACGATGGGTGCCAGTCTGGATCATGGCAGCCAACCAAGCCCACCAGCTGTGCCAGCACTTGGTTGGATGCTCAGCACCGGCGAGTACTTTTCCAAAGCATTTTGTTGCACCCAGGCCTCTGATAGCCACAAGGAACGTGGCTTCTCAGTGCATTGACCAAATTTTCTTGGGGAAAAATGAAGGACAAGGCTGGAAAAAGACACTTGTAAAGATTAAGAAAATGCTAATCACTTAAATATGAGCCAGCCGTGTGCTGCAGCTACCAAAAAAGCCAATACAGTGCTGGGCTGCATTAACAGAGGGATAGAATCAAGATCACGTGAGGTATTAATACCACTTTACAATGCCTTAGTAAGGCAACACCTGGAATACTGCATCCAGTTTTGGTCACCACGATGTAAAAAAGATGTTGAGACTCTAGAAAGAGTACAAAGAAGAGCAACAAAGATGATTAGTGGCCTGGAGGCTAAAACATACAAGGAACGGTTGCTGAAATTGGGTATGTCTAGTAGTTTAATGAAGAGAAGGACGAGGGGGGACATGATAGCAGTGTTCCAATATCTCAGTGGCTGCCACAAAAAAGAGGGGGTCAAGCTATTCTCCAAAGCACCTGAATGCAGGACAAGAAGCAATAGGTGGAAACTCATCAAGGAGAGAAGCAACCTAGAACTAAGGAGAAACTTCCTGACAGTGAGAACAATTAACCAGTGGAACAACCTGCCTCCAGAAGTGGTGAATGCTCCAACACTGGAAGTTTTTAAGAAGAGACTGGACAGCCATTTGTCTGAAATGTTACAGGATTTCCTGCCTGAGCAGGGGGTTGGACTAGATGACCTCCAAGGTCCCTTTCAACTATTCTATTCTATTCTTTGCTTAAGAAAGGAAAATTCAAGAGCAAAACAAACAAATAACTGAATTAAATCGATGATAAACTCCAAATCCAGCTTTAAATTAATAAAGATTAAAAATAGATTTAAAAAACTAACACAAAGTAAAATATGTAAAAAAGGTGCAGAGAATTTTTTAATAAGCACACAAACACTCACACACAAAAGGGGAAATCATAAAGAAGTGATTCCCCTCCTTTATCAAGACAATTTCAATAACGAATCACTTTCTCTTATCTCTTGTCACAAAAGACACTCTTCCTCCCTGTATCTCATCTCTTATCTGCCAGATCTTAAAGCTTCTTCATTCAGTCCTACTCAACAACAAAAGTCCATCAAGAGTTACAAGAAACAACACTTATATATTAACCTCAATCAAATAAATCAACCTTATATCCCTTTATTTTTAACAGTCATTTATCATTTCCCCAAAAATCACAGTTTGTCATTTTCTTTTCCAGGATTTCTTGGGAGATTTTGTCAGTCTGGATTTCTTACTTGGGGGACTCAAATGGCCCTACTCAGACACATTATGGCAGCTTCCCCTGGGGAGAGTCTGGGACAGGAGGGAGGAGAGGGGAGGAGAGGAGGGAGGAGAGCGAGGAGCAGCAAAGGGGGATCCCAGCAGTGATGGCGGCAGCACCTGAGGAAGCAGGCTAGGGACAGAGGCCATCTACGTGGCCACTAACGGTCAGCGATGACTTGATGGTACACAGTCATAATTGATCAACGTGTCCCACCTTTTACTGAGGTCAAAGGACACCATGTTCACCACATTCCCTGGCCAATTAAAGGGGTTATTCTGTCAAAAATGATCTGGCTACTTTGACATGACTTATTCTTGATTAAGCCCTGCTGGCTCCTGCCAAGCCACACATTCTTTCCTACTTACTCACAAACTGACAGCATAAAATCTGTTCCGGAGGTCTGTGTGGCACAACTGTCCTCTGCAATGACCTCAGGCCTCTTTTCCCCCTTTCCAGAGGCAGAAACAACGTCTCCTTTCTCCGACCCTCTGGCTCCATCCCTGCCCTCCGTGACTTCTCAAAGATCACAAAAAAGGGCTGTGAGATGACCGGGATTCTCAAACTGAAGCCATCTGGCCCAGGAGACCTTAAACGCCCCTTTCCCTCCCTCCCTCCATGAGCCTTCCTTTCCCCAAGCGCAAGAGGCACCCCGAGACTCTTGGTCACACACACACACACCGTTTCCTCCCCGGGCCTTGCCTGCCTCCCTTTCTTTCCAATAAGAAAAAGCACTTCTCAGAGGGTTGTCCTGGAGAGACCTCCAGGCGAGAGAGGGAGACTGTAGCCCACCAACCCTCACAGACACGTTCCCCCCCCCATCCTCTGGGCGTGGGTCGAGGGATGCTTATGAAGGCAGTGGACATATCGGCCTTCCAGGGATGTAGGGTCAGAGCAACCCAGAAGCTGCTCCAGGGTCATTCAAAGCCACTTGGCTAAATTTATGGATTTTTTAAAAAAAAAAAATAGGGAGGGGGAAGCTCCTTGCCAGCAAAAGCATTTCAGGAGTATGCCAGCTTTCAGCCTTGTGGCCCAGGCTCTGGCATGAACAGGGAGCCTGCTGTGGTCCTGGGTGTTTTTTTTTTTTCCTGTTATGCTCATGAATGAATGGGTGAAGTTGCAGACGAGGGACCTCCTTTGGTTGTGCACCCATTCTCACAATATCTGGTTCCCCTAGCAATCATTCCTTCACTCTGAAAGGATGCTACTGTGTTTCCCCGAAAATAAGACCTATCCCCCCAAAAAGACCTAGCTTGATTTTTACATCTGCGCCCAATATAAGCCCTACCCCCAAAATAAGCCCTAGTTTTGGGGCATGGCACATGCTAAAAATCAAGCTAGGGAGGGGGTGGGGGTGGAGGTGCCCCAGGCACCCGCTTACCCTTAGGACCACCGCAGCCAGGCCTCCCACACCCGGACACCGAGTTCTTCTGTGGTCACTTGCAGCCGCATACCACGTGGCGCATCACACTGCTGCCACTGCTCACAACAGGAGGTCCCACAGCACATCGCACTGATCACACCACTGCCACCGCTAGCGGCTGGAGGCCGGGAGGCTTGTCACGCCGATCATGCTGCTGCTGCCGCAAGCCTCATGATTAGGGCGATGAGCCTCACGGCCTCCTGCTGCAAGCGGCAGGAGCAATGTGATTGGCACAATGCGCCATGTGGCCTGCAGTGGCACCAGCGCGATCAGTGTGATGCACTGCGCAGCCTCCTGCCACAAGTGGTGGCACTGGTGCAATCGGCACAATGAGCCACGTGGCTTTTTGTTGAGAGTGGTGATAGTGGCACGATTGGCACCTGCGAGCGGCGTGATGTGCCACGCGGCATGCAGCCACAAGCGGCCGCAGAAGAACTCGGGCAGCAGCGCGACAAGTGTCGGGGTGCAGATCAACTGATTTATTGCTGAAAACCTTTGCACAGGAATCTTCTCAATTAAGGGTCAGCCCCCCGGTTAGTTCAGGTGTGGCTCTTTTCAATTCCCACCCACCCCACCCCCGGCTTGGCCAGTCCTTCCCCTGCAGGGGCTAAGAAAACTCAACAAGTTAGCAGTGAGGGATCGGAGACAGCAGCTCTCTTCCCCGAGACCCTAATTTGGGGACCCTCTCTATGTCAATGCCTCCTCCTTCTTGGTGAGAGGAGGCGGGCAGTTCCCGGGTGCTGTCAGCAGAGCTGACCCGAAGCCTCTCTGCTTAAGAGGGGGGTGGGTGGGCTGAAGGGGAGACCCGTCTCCCAGTTCTGGAGAGCACTTCTGGGTTTGGGCTGGGTTTGGACTCACCTGAACCGTGCACGCAAAGACCAGGCCAGTCAGGAGCAGGGCCCTCCAGCAGGAGAGCTGCCTGTAGGAAAACACCAGAGGGAAATGAACATTTTCAAAAACTTTTGTCAGGAAGGGAAGAAAATGCTTTGCCAATATCTTGTAAGCTTAGGGGGGGGAAAACTGTACGGTGGCCAAACTGTAGTGCCAGAGATATGCGAATGCTTTGATGATCTGCCCTGAGTCTCTCAAGAAGGCCACTTGCCTCCTTCTGGTACGGAGTCCCCCCCCCGCCTCCACTTCTGCCCCCTTGTGATGCACAGCCTCCCCCACCCCACCCCACCCAACCCCCCACCCCGGTTCACAGCCCAGGGGTCAACAACGTCTGCAGAATAACAACAGAATAACAGAGTTGGGAGGGTTATTACGAGCGAGCGAGCGTGACCCCTTCGCCAGCTCTGCAGGAGGATGCTGGCAAGACGTTCTGACCAGCTCCCCAACGGAGTGTGGAAACTGCAGTAGAAAAAAATTGGGAGCAAAAGATAAAAGTGCACTGCAAAGAGAGAAGGTGAGACACCCCAGAAAGTAGGGAAACATCTCGGGGTCCAGGTCTTGACCATCCCTCAGGGATTTAAGGCGGCCTTGTCCTGAGTCGGCTACATGGGCCAAGCTACGCCCGAGCCCCCTGGCAAGCGCAGCCACGAGGGACCTGCGCAGGGAGCCTTCTTCGCCCTGAAGGCAGGACCCGAGTCCAAGGCAAACAGCCATCTTTTTCACACAATTTGGCAGAACAGCAGCAGCAGCAGCACCACACTGGCGAGAACAGGTCTTGGTGAGCTGTCGTGGCCTCCAGTTGTGGGCAGTGGCTTCTTCCGGAAGGCCTCGTTGAATGATCATCCTGCCTGGTCAATCGGTGTATGTCCCGCCTCGGAGAAGCCAAACTGTGATTTAAAGTTTAAAAATCGATTGCAACTCCTGTTGAACCCAGACTGTGGAAATGCCAAGTAAATGAAGACAAGTGTTGGAAATTCAACTGATTTTGGGCGGACAATGGTTAAGGGGGATACCCCTTAACATGGGTGTCCCCCTGAAATGCTTTTGATACCTGAGCCTGCCATTCCAGGATGACCGAGGAGGACGTCGCCGGACCAGCCTCCCTCAGTTCCCTCCGTGATGGACGGGCAAGGGCTTTCTGGGGTCCCCTTGGGCCCCATCTGCCCTCCCGCTGTCTGGAGCACCTAAAGCAAAAGGCTCTTGCCTAGGACTGGCGGAAGGGGGTTCCTCTCTGTGGGGCTAAGGGGAGTGGCTGGCGGGGGAGGGCATTTTCAGTGCAGTTGTGAACAATATACACACCGATTACGGGTATAGTTAGTGCTACTATTTTGCATACCTAAAAACAACATTTTGACTGATTATGTGCCACCCAGTATTTTTGACCCCCAGTGATTACATAGATTGAAAGCAACATGATTCCAACTTTTATGTCCTATCATCCTGAGCAAAGCAAGGGGCAGACTGGGTGAATTACAGGGGGTGATGTCCTTTTCAGGGACCAGGCACAAGGGGGTGGGGCCAAGCTCTTGGGGGAATAGGGGGTGCTTGGGGGTTTGAAACGGACGGATCTGCCATCCACAAAATAGCAATCTGGGCTGCCAGATTACAACAATCACAGCCACCCAGAATAGCCATGTGGGCATGCCCTGGAGGTCAGCCAAGTGGGCGGACCCACTGCCAAGCGGGCCAGCTGCTGTCCTACGTGCAGCCCCACTGCCAGGGAGACCGGAAGGGGATGCCAATCTCCCTTAAGAACCTGGGTGTGGAGCATGGGTCCCCTTCCACAATGGCACTAGCTTCTGCAGCTCTCTGTCGGTCCTCAACAAGGAAGAGTTGGGGGGCGACGGAGGTGAGAGCAGTCTGGGAACTGAAGCAGGATTTCACTGGCACAGAAGAGACTGTCCGTGTTGCAAAAAGCAGAAGAGGCAGTCGTCTCCTTCCTCCACCAAGACCCAGGCTTTGCCAGAAGGTTTAGCGGCCCCTCCAGTACAGGTGGCCTGGCGTTTCCAGCCCGGGGACCCTGGAGTGGGAAGAAGGCACGGGGGAGGGGCAGAAAGGGCAGCTCCCGGGAGGGCCCGGACGTTGTGGCCCTTGGGAAGGGGAGCAGGAAACTCGGGAAGGGGCCAGGCAGAACCCCAGGGGTCAACCTACTCCCCAAAACACCAGAGAGCAGGTCCGGGAGTAACGGATGGAGGATCATTAAAGAGAGATCCAAATTCGAACTAAGGAGAAATCTCCTTAGTGAGAACAATTGACTAGTGGAACAACCTGCCACCAGAAGTTGTGGGTGTTCCATCCCTGGAGGCTTGTAGGAAGAGACTGGACAGCCACTTGTCTGGAATGTGGTACAGGGTCTCCTGAGTGCAAACCCTGAGCAGAAACCCTGGCAGGTCCTCCCTGGGTCTGGCGTGGGCGGGGGAGGGGGAAGGGTTCTTCTTTCATTTCCACAAGGCTCCGACCGACTGACTTCACCTGATTTCCTCCCTTAGCTCAACGGGCCTCCTTGCCCAGAAACAGCGCGACTCCGAAAAACTGGTGGGGTGCGGGCTGCTTCTCCCCGGCTGCCGGCTGCCGGCGCTGGCCTAAGAGGGTCCCTTTGCTCTGCGCCCAGAGAGGGAGGAAGCAGAGTTGGCGCCCGGCCGAGGTCTCCGCTTCTAGGCAAAGGGCGAGCGCCGCGGTGGGACAGATGCGCGGCACCTGCTGCCGCCGCCGCTCTGGAGGCGGCCCCGGCTGGTGCAGCTGCGCTCGGCGACGGCTTGCAGCTGCACGGGCGGGCCCGGGGCTCCGCAGCTGCACTGCCTTCCCAGCCCTGCGGAGCAGCAGCAAACACGCAGATCTCCAGCGGGCTCCCGAAAGCTGCCCGGGATCCGCGGGCGTTAAAGAACCGAGGCAAGACCTGGGGAGTCCCTCTTGGACCCGAGGCACGGCCGGCAACGAGAGGCGCTCCGACGGCCCCAGGTCTCCCGGCCACGGTGCCCTTGTAGCACCCACTGAAGGCCGGCACTAAGCAGACGGAACGGCTACTCACCAGAACCTGAGCACGTCAGAAGCGGAGCCCCGTGGCTGCATCTCCCACAGCCCGCGTGGCCTGGAGTGGCACCGGGGACAGCTGTCCGTGCCCCCCCCAACGGGGCTTTATTCCCAGAGGGGCCAGGAAGAGCTCAGGCCCAGCCAAGCCCGGGTGCGCACCCGCCGCGCGGAAGCTCCCTCGCGTTTCTTCCCCGGCTGCTCTCCCACCGAGTTTGGGCTGGTCCCACGCAGGGTGGCGGTTGGGGTGGTAGTGGAGGGAGGGAGGGAGGGAGGGAGGAGAGCGAGTGCCCAGGCTGCAGCCGCCTCCCACACCGGGGTAGGGAGCTTTGCGGGAGGGGGGGGAATGTACTGCTGAGCATTCCCGGAGGAGGAGCAGCAGCAGCAGCTGTTATTCAGACTCTCAGGAAAAGGTGTGAGGGAGGAACAAGTTGGGGGTTCGCCCTTCAGCAGAATTCACCGGCAATTCCCCCCCCCGCGAGAGGGGATCATCTCAGAGCAACATGTCTGCAGCTAAAAATAGCTCCCGTGCTTCTCAGGGCGGGGGGGGGGGCTGGGAGCAGGACGGAGGAAAAAGCTCTGCAAAATTGATTTGGGATGTTTGAAGAGTGAAGAAGGGGAACCCAATTCCCATCCTCTTGCCTCACTTTCCTGGCCACTTGCCAGGCAGGCCTTGGGAAAGATAGGCCATAAATAACGTCCTTGGGGCGGGATGGAGGGGAAGGAGAGACGGGATGGAAGCCATATGGAAAGAGGGCGAGGGTGGAAATCAGGGCTAGTCCTGGAATCAGAAGTGGATCCAGAACTCCCCTTGGGGCGGCATCTGTGGCTTCTCCCTCCCTCCCCCCCACTCTTGCTCTTTCTCTTTCTCTTTCTCTCTCTCCCTGCACGTGTGTGCACATGCACATTCCCTGGCTCAGTGAGGAGACAGTGAGTCACAGCAGTTACACGCAGTGCAAGACAGAGCCAGCCCTGCACGGCACCATCCGCTCAGTGGGTGGGTTTCCCCAAGCAAAGAGCCAGAGCTAGGAGCCCTGGGACAAGGCAGGCCTCCAGGCCCAGGGTGGGTGTGGGTCTCTTGCCCCCCCCAGTCCTGCACAGCACGGGCACACAGGTTAAGTAAAGGTGCTGATGCCCGCCTGACCCATTAGCAGACCTTGCTGGCCCTTTGGCACTGCTGCCTCAGCGGGGGGGGGCACTGGGCTGCCCTTCCCCCCAGATAGGGGCTTTTAACCCAGGAGGGGAGCTGCTCTGTCCAAATTCCCACCCCCAAGAGGCTCTCAGTGCGTGGCATGCCTCCCCCCCCAGAGACTGAGGAGCAGCAACAGAGCTGCCCCTTCTGGAGCTAGCCCGTTCAAAAGAGGCAGCGTGCACTTCCCCCAGCCTTCCGTCTCTTACCAAGGTTGAGGCAAGTGAAGGCAAAAAGAATTCCCAAAATGTTAGGGGGGGGAGAGGGAGGGGCTGCCATTGGGCTGGAGGGGGAGACACTGCAGGAGAGGCTGGGGAGAAGGGGGGAGGGGAAGGCCATTGACCACCTTGTTCCGTAGCTCCCTCAGCAGAAGCAGCTCAACAGGTGCAATTCCAAAGATGGTGAGAAAAATGCAGGGTTTTATATATTGTCCAGGAATATAGGCCTGGAATTTTAATGTTTTAACCTTTAAAGCCAATTTTAATCTTTTAAATTGTTTTATATTGCTATTTTTGGCTCCCTATGGTAAACTGCCCAGAGTCCCATCTAGAGAGAAGGAATAGGCAATTCAACTGATGAGAAGCGAAACGTCTTCAAAGAAAAAACAATAAAGTCCCGTTGCCTCGTGAAAAAGCACATCTGGGATAACCACATAGATAGGTTTCCTCCATGAGGACTTATCCCTAGTCTGGCCCTTTAGCTCTTCCGATGCCCCCCCCCCCGCCCTTGTGACCGAGGAGCCCCTTCGTCCGTCCACCCGTCCGCCCATCCGCCTGGCTGCGGGTCCTCTCCTCCTTGCACCCCACATTAGA